GGGCCTGCATGTGGCCTCCGAGCAACGCCAGGCCCCCACCTGCGGGAGCGTCACCGAGGGACTGGGCCCCCGAGAGCACCCGGCCCTTCAGGGTGACCCCGTCTCCTTCAGCCTCGGACCACCCTCTACACAGTGGATGGTGAGACACAAGCAGAGAGGCTCAGAGAGATCACTTCCAGGGAAAAGGTGAGGGGCAGGTGCATCCTAGCAGCAAGAATAGCATCTTCTGTAGACAAACGGGCGGTACCCACAGCAGCCAGAGCCACAGCCGTAGCCAGTTCCATAGCCACAGCCGTAGCCACAGCCGTAGCCAGAGCCGTAGCCACAGCCTAGCAAGAATAGCATCTTCTGTAGACAAACGGGCAGTACCCACAGCAGCCAGAGCCACAGCCATAGCCAGATCCATAGCCACAGCCAGAGCCAGAGCCGTAGCCATAGCCATAGCCAGAGCCGTAGCCACAGCCGTAGCCACAGCCGTAGCCAGAGCCGTAGCCACAGCCATAGCCACAGGAGTTGCCATAGTAACGGCCACACATGTTGTCAGGAGGAGAGAGCTCGCTGTGCTTGGGGAGGTGGTTCTGGGGTGTGAGGCTCCCACTGCCCGGGCCTTTATATGCCGTCAGGAGCCGGCACGCATGCCATTCCTCCCTGACTTAGCCAACAGCATTCCAACAACTGCACGCTACGTGCCAGGCACGCTGGTAGTCCGGCCGCTTTGCTTGGGATGAGCTCATTACTTCGGAGACGGGTTTTGTGAAAGAGCATCCTGCTCGTTTGCTTTGTCTCCGTGAGGCCCCGGGACAGACCGGACGGAGCCCCTGGAAGGCACAGCCGGGGCGAGCTGCTTCAACAGAGCAGCCTTTCCACCGAAGGCCCAGGAGGCCCAGGGGGCAGGGAGAGAACCTGTTTGTTCGGGTCTTCAAATCCCCACCGCTCCCCGGAAATGTGTAAGCCGTTTAACTCACTTCTTTATTTTCTCTAAATACTTTCTAGTTTTATTTTTTTTAATATATTTTATTGATTTTTTACAGAGAGGGAGAGAGATAGAGAGTTAGAAACATCGATGAGAGGGAAACATCGATCAGCTGCCTCCTGCACACTCCCCACTGGGGATGTGCCCGCAACCCAGGTACATGCCCTTGACCGGAATCAAACCTAGGACCCTTCAGTCCGCAGGCTGACGCTCTATCGACTGAGCCAAACCGGTTTCGGCTCTAGTTTTATTTTTACAGCCCCAGCTGAACCATAGCAATCAGCAAGAAAATGCCTGTAAATTAGCGATAGATAGATGATAGATAGATATAGATAGATAATTTACTATATTTATTTGCTTGTTTTTACTTTATTCAGTCCGCAGGCCGGCGCTCTACCCACTGGGCAACACCGGCTGGGGCCGGCCACAAGAGTCCTGAAGATAGATAGACAGATAAATAGATGATAGATAGATAGATAGATAGATAGATAGATAGATAGATAGATAGATAATAGGTAGATAGATGGATAGATGATAGATGTTAGATTGATGGATCGATAGATATATGGATAGGTAAATAGATGATAGATAGATACGTGGATGAGATAGATGATTGTTAGAGATAGAGATGATAGAGATACAGATGATAGAGACAGAGATGATAGAGATACAGATGATAGAGACAGAGATGATAGAGACAGATACAAAAATAGAGACAGAGAGACAGAGACACATGATGGAAGCTCACGATTGAGTCCTCACATGACCATATACTGACTCAGTTGCAAACTCCCACGTGGCCCTGGGATTCTAATCTAATGGCGAGAACGTCCTTTACCTTTGTGGCATTATTTCTCCTGTGTCTGTTCAGACTCGGCTACTGAGCGGCCATGGCAAGATGCAGTCTCCCCTCTGCTTGTCCCTAAATCGGCTACTCCGAGTGCAGGGCCGGGCACACAGTTTGGATTCAGTCAGTAGCCCTTCCCCCCCAAAAACAGATGATGCCGTTCACACACGGGTCGCCGCTTTTCATCTATAAGATACGCGGACACAAGCTTGAGTTCCCGGAGCACCGTCTCAGCATTTACATGCCTGCTCCTGGCTGCTTCATGCCTCTTCCGTGCTTCCGGCGTAGAAACGGCTCAGGGCATTGACCCCCATCCTCTCATCGTTTCACACAGTGGTTTCACCTTCTCGCCTGACGACCATGTTCAGATCTCCACACTTTGCACTGAGACGCTGGTTGTGGTGGCCTTAACGTGACCACCTCGCAGCCTGGAGGTCACTCCCAGCACATGCATGTGCTCCCCGCGTGGCCTCTTCATGCCCTGACGGAGCCCGTCTGAACACTGATCTGTTCCTAAGAACACAGCGTCCACATGACTCCCCTGGACACGTATTTCCAGTTCAGCAGTTAGAGGACGGCTTTGCGTTGTGTGTATAAAGCATCTTATTTGGGGACCTCAGGTCCGTGTCCTGTAAGAAATTGGCTGATATTCCTGAAATTCCAGGAGCGGCGGAGGCCGGGCCACAGTAGAAGCAGATTTTGCTTTGAGGACGATGTCTGTTTTGACACTTGATTAAGTCTCATCATAAATAGAGAGTTTAGTCAAAGATCCACTAGGCAGTGAATTCTCGCCGTGGGTGTGAAATGTCCTCTAGAATTCCCGCCATCTGGGTGTCATCATTCCCCCTCACGCTGTAGCATTTTCCTCACTTCCAACCCCAAACAGCGCTTCCCACACAGTCTCTGTCCTCTCGGCCGCGGGACAGCGGCACAGACACTTCAGACCAGAGTTTGGAACGAGAAGCTGAGGCCGGAGCGAGGCGGTCACTCACCTGAAGTCACGGGGGCTGCGGGTGGGAGCCAGACCCTGTGTTCTGCCCACAGCTCTGCACACAGGCTCCCAGCCCCTCCCCTGCTCACCCCGCAGGGGGCGCTGCCCTCCACACTCCTGAGAGCAGGGAGCCCGGAGTTCCTGGCAGATCTGATTTGGGGTCCCAGCCCTCCCAGCCGTGATCACAAAGGCACGAGGCCTCCTGACTGATCCCCATCTGACGGCCACCCCCACTGACGCCTCAGCCTCAGCTTCAGCCAGCACCCCCTCTTGGCCCTGGATCCTGAGTCTCACCCCGTAAATCACCACCCTGCCTTTTACAGCCCCTGAGACACACCCTGGGAAAGCAATGACCTCACTCCGTTTCCCATCTCACTCCACTGCCCCGACAGTAGACCATGACTCCACTGAGAACGGGGCTACGTGGAGAGCAGAGGAGGTGGGCCAGACAGACAGACAGGCAGAGAGGTGCAGTCTCCACACCTGCCACCACAGCTTTCCCTCCCTTTCCTCAGCCCCCACATCGGATAACCACCCCTTTCCTGCATGACTGAGCATCCGGAAGCCCCGGGTTCATTTGAAGAGAGAATGATGGGAATTCACAGCAGCCACGATATTCTCTCCTATTTTTCTACCACACTTTGCAGCATGAAAGGCGCCCTCCTCCCTTTATTCACGCTCCCGACTCTTCCAATAAATGCAGGAGATGGCAAATGAGGGAGGGGGGGAGGGAGAAGGAGTGCACAGGGGTAGAACATGTGGCATTTAGGACATGACTGTCAATGAGTTGTAAGCTGGGGGGCGGTATCTGCAGGTCTGAGTGTTCCCCCTAATTCCAGACCCTCCCGTGCAGTCGGGGTGTGAGGACAGAGTCTGCCTGTTGGGCCTCCGAGCCGGGCATATCCGTGAGCTACTCCAAGGGCTCCCACTATGTTAGGACGTCTCTCTCTCTAACTCACTGTCCTCCAGGCTCATCTCTGGGTAACACTGAGCCTGGAATGAAACTGCCTTTTCCATCACCCGATTCTATTGAGGACACAGCTCAAGTGACTCCTGACTCTCCAGAGGCCCAGTGTGTGCTTTCTATCCAGGGAAGTCTAGCGGCTTTGAAACCTATGCGTACGCGTGTGTGTGTGTGTGTGTGTTCATGAGTGTGCGTGCGCATGTGTGTGCATGCGCGGGTGTGTGCTGGTGTGCGTGGTATGTGCATGTGTGCACGGGGGGTGGGGTGCGCGCATGTGCTCATGTGTGTGCTTGTGTGTGCATGTGTGTGTGTCCTTGCTAGGCAAGCCTGGTATTGTTATCATGGTTCTCATTTGATGGAAATGGTACAGGACCCGTGGGGTGCGCTCCAAGGCCCCCTAGGATGCCTGGACTTGGGCTGGGACCACCCCCGTATGCGTATACGATGTTTCTCCCACGCACACGCCTTTCCCCTGAAAGGACGCATTCGGCTTCTCTGTGCTGCGTCCTCATTGCCGGCCGCGTGGCCCTTGCACTTTGGGGCTGTCATAGAGGAAAGCCAGGGTCCCCCCAGCACAGGCCCTGCCGACCCACCACGGCCGTCTGATGACCGAGGCGGCTGCTGGGAGATGCAGGGGTAGCCACAGCGTGGAGACGGGGAGACACTTCACACCCTGGCGGGACGGAGCGGGATTGTGTCATGCTGCCCAGACCCGCACACGAGTTAGACCATGAATTGCCCATTTCTAGAAGTTCCCGTTGATACGCTTGGGCTGTGGTTGGTCAGGCGTCACTGAACCACAGAGTGAAACTGCAGGTCAGGGGGATGGGAGGCTGCAGCTGAGGCCACAAACGGGCAGGTGACGTGGCCAGAGCCCACAGCCATGCACAGGCAGGCGGGGCGGTCACGGGACTCCCATGCGTGTTCCTCATGTCTGTCCCCACAAACCGCGGCCCAATAAGCCAGCTTCGTTAACACGTCACACGCCAACTGCACCTCCCCAGCCCCCGCCCCGGCCAAGCTCTGCTAGCAGCTCACCCCACAGCTCACCCGGCCTCGTGTTCGCATAAACCCACGCCGGTGGCAGTCCTGCCCGCGGTCCCATGCGTGCGTGTCCCTCAGGGAGCAGGTGCCTCCGGACCGGCCGCCCGCTCGGGATCGCCCGCCATCCTCTTCCCAGAAGGAGGGAGGGAGGATCAGGCTTGCGAGGGAAGGCACACGGCTGTTTACAGGGCTCTGCCGCTGACGGCAGCGGTGTGAAGGGCATCAGCTTTATTTCACGATCCTATAAAATTAGCCGTAAAGTGAAGGCCTGTTGAGGCTCAGAGCTCAGCCTCGCAGTCTGTGCCCCTCCCGTCACAGAAGGCCCGGCACCCGCAGGCCGTAAAGCCCCCGTTCCGTCCACACAGCCCTTCCCCGTTCTCCCCAGCGAAGCTGCAGGGAGGGGGTTTACCCGCAGAGTTTAACTGGACTGTTCACAGGCAGCCGCTAAACAAATCAACTCCACGAACCAACGTGTCGCGAGTGTCCCTCAGACCAGGCACAACCAGGCCCAACGTCCCAGGTGTGACCAGCGGCTGGCACTCAGAAGGGCCGTGTACCTGGTTAAGGGGACGTGTACCTGGTTAAGGGCTGTGTACCTGGTTAAGCGGCTGTGTATCTGGTTGAGGGGCCGTGTACCTGGTTAAGGGGAAGTGTACCTGGTTAAGGGGGAGTGTACCTGGTTAAAGGGCTGTGTACCTGGTTAAGGGGGAATATACC